GGTGTAGTCAACACAAAGACGAATTTTGTTATTATCTTTTCGAACTATAACAATGGGACTGACCCATGGAGTGTGATATTCAACTGGCTCTATAATGTCTAACTTTTGTAAGCGTTCAAGTTCCTCTCTTAAAGGTTTAAGTAATGGAATGGGCACAACACGTGGAACCGATTGAATAAATGGCTGAACCTTTTCATCAATTTCAATTTTAAATTCAGTTTTGAAAGTACCCAATTGATCAAAAATTTTAGGAAATCTTTGTTCGATTTGTTCCAATTTAAGAAAATTGACTTCTGAAGAAACTCCATCACCAAATTGCAAGATGTTTAAATCAATTATTGCAGAACGACCTAAGATTGGTTTACATAATTCTTCAATGACATAGATATCAGTAAAACATTTATTTTTAGAGTTACTTATTGTACCATGCAAAATACCTACAATATTTAATCTCTTGCCTGAAGGGCCGGTCACCACTCTGTTAGTGGTATGTAAGCTTTGAGTAACATTTGCATCTAGTAAAGATACAGGTTATATCGGCTCCGGTGTCTATCATAAATTTAAATTCTTTATTTAATTCAGAAATTTTTAAGGAAATTGACCATTCTTTCTTGGAAATTGAACTTATTTCAATTGAACCTAAATACTGATTTGAACTAGTACCATTATTGTGAGAACAATTTGTACAACTTAATCTAGGGTTAGTATTACAATCACTATTATTCGAGTTATTATTATCAAACTGGATGGATCTAACCTTTTTGCTTCGACACGCAGTTGCCCAATGTCCTTGTTTATTACAGGAACGACACGTAGATTGCCTGGCAGGGCATTTTTCCCTGAGATGGTCCTCTAATCCGCAAAATTGGCATTTTCTGGAAAAGCGAGAAGATCTGGCAACCGTGCTCTCCTCCACCGTCGGAGCTGAGCTTCTGACGTCATAAGGTCTTCTGTCTCGCTCTCGCACGAAATTGGAATTTGACTGTCCTGCAACGGCGGCAACCAATTCTCCACGGAGCTCTCTGCTTTGTTTTTCGTGGAGTTCAGCTTGTTTCACGGCAATAATGCAATCGGCTAGGGTTAGATTCGCTTGCAATTGCAATCTTTCACTAGTTTTGCGATCTAACATGCCCACCACAATACGATCACGTATTAATTCGTCCTTTAGGGAGCCATATTGACAGTGCTCTGCGAGGGAATGCAAACAAGTAATAAATATTTCTACAGGCTCACCTGGTTGTTGAGCACGACTATTAAATTTGTAACGTTCGAAAATTAAATTTCTACGGGGAATGAAGTGGTTTTCAAAGGCTTGCACTGTTTCTGAGTAGGTTTCGGGGACTGGCATGAACTGTATCATCACTTCTTCGGCTTCCTCGCCAAGGATATACATCAAAATATTTACCTTCTCGTCGTCTGATTTTAAATTTTGTCCCGATACTGACATGAATCGCTCGAAGCGTTTTCGCCACTGGGGCCAAGCTTGGGGCATCGAAAAATCAAATTTTTGCGGTGGAGACACCGGCACAGAAATTGCTTGAGACATTGAAGTCAAGACCGTCGGGGTTGTCGACGTACTTTCCGTGTTAGTAACAGGCATTATTGCGTCGATTGAGAAATCGCTGGGGTTTGGAAACACATTCACCGCACTTTACTATTTTATGCTGCTTTTTAACACGCACCACACGCTGCCACCATGTTATGTTGGGTTCTTTTGGTAATAAAGAGTCTGATTGATTAGGAGTTTATTAATCCACTTACTTTCAACCTTCACTAGGTGTACAAAACATATCTTATATATCTATCTCCCCGAGTGTCCTTCGTTACAACCTAACCTTAGTCTAGCGTCTCCCCGCAGGATCGCAATCCCCGGGTTGCCACGTCTTACATCAAATCCTGACCGAACACTAAACACTTTTTAAAAATGTCTACAAAACATACGCTTGATAAAAGTTTAAATTAACATATAAAACATCCAAATTATTAACAAATTTTAATCACTAAAATTATAAACCAATTTTATAAACCATTTGTCATATGATGATGAGTCATCCATAGTACATAATGGCTACCACTTCCGTCAGATCGATTAGATTAAAGCGGACATGGCATGCTCCTTCCTGACTATATATGTTCTAAGAAACCTACCATTACATTTTTGAATGTTGACAAGTGACAAGTAAGAAAACAAGTGCCAGGAATGAGAATTAACAGTGTTTAAACCCTTATACAATAAACATCTAAATTGGTTTTAGCGATTTGGTACATACAACAACAACATATAACATTATTACAAAAATAAGTTGTCATGCTTATGTCATGTAAATGATACAAAAAGATCAATAAATTTATCTATCTCTTGAGTTTTCAAAAAGTTTCGAGTTCAAACCACATATATTATTTTATAAACCATAAAAAAATACAAATTAAAATCATAAATGCAAATGTTTGCGTTAATTATTTTTAAAATAACGTATAATAAAGTTTTGCAGTTTTTATTTAATGGGTCATATAATATACTGAACGAGTCAAGTGAATAGGTATTATGACATCCGAAGAATCTTTAAAAGATGCCATTTTAGTTGCCAATATTTAAATTTCAATATTTACCATTCAATTATAATACCAATCAATGCTCCAAATTCATGAATAATATTGGATTGGTAAATTTGTACACATATAAAATATTGTAACTATTTGAATAAGAAAATAATAGGTAAATACTGATTTTTATTAATGTAAAGAGCTGATCTTTGAAATTTTCATCAGTTATAGAACATTGCTGTCCCTATTTGGAATTTATAGATTCTAAAAAGTTACTTCAGATTTCTCTTACACGTCACCTATTAATAGGTCAGAAGAAAGAGTATATTCACCTGTGAAAAATTAAAATAAAGCTACAAATTGGTATGTTGGTCCAGTTCGATGTCTTGAAAATTCCCTTTCAATTGCTCTTGGGCTATCTGACTTGCATTTTCTTAGGGATATTTTTGGAACAAAAATTTCATTTTTGAGAACTCTGCGCAAACAGCTAGTCTGTAATGAAAAATTCTTATCCAGTGTTCATCTAGAGGATATGTTTGACAAAAAAACGGCGATAGTACTATCCTAGCATATATAGTTTACTCTCTAAAGCGCCTTGGAGAGAGACATATCTTGTTGTTGAAGGTGAAGGCTACGCCTACAAATTTTTCAGTAACCGCATTATACCAGAATAAACACACTTTACAAATAGTTTTTTGTTAGTCAATAGATTGACAACTAAGAGAATGGCGAGAGCTCAAAATCTGGTGTAAATTTCATCAAAGTTTAGAAACGTTTCCGGATCCAAACCTTCGTTTTTCATTGCTTCTTTTTAAGCCGTTCTGTCAACTTTGCTTTGTTCCCTGTCGTCTCTAGATAACGATCATGTCCACTATTTATTTACAATCCCACTTCTGACACCAATGTAACGATTGTTTAACCCTTTCACTGCGGCGTGCGTCATTTTTAATGTATCGTGGTGAGCGGCTACCACGGAGCCGCAGGTAAACCTATCGGAAGCTGCTGTATTTATAGACGGTTCCCACTTCAGTTGCCACTTTCTGCTGCGGCTTTGGACGGCTCCCGCTGTGAAAGGGTTAATTTAAAAATAGTTTACTTATTAAAAACAGTTTATAATTTATTTATAACGTAGTAATTAATTTATTTAAAACTTAGGCACTATTATAACTCACAATTCTAATTTATTTATTACCATTTATCTTTACTATACAACACTTGTATTGAAAATTGACGTCAACCGACAAATTCGCGCCATTTATACAAAAATAATACTCTAGAAAGAACCAACTCGGGCTAGAAGTTCTGGACATTATTTTCCACGTGTAAGACTGCGATGGAAAACATTCGATTGCGTTTCTCGAGGCGGGTCTCGATATAGCCAGCCCTAGACTTTCTGTGGGTACGGTAGTAAACAAAGAACATAGTCGGCTTCACGCGATCTCGCGACAGTATGTTCGGAATTTAATTTAACTTTTTTATTTAACATTTTTTTCGACTCGTACCTTTACAGTTAGGTATTCTCTCTACATCTTTCTCCTATTATATTACTTACTTGAAATGATTAAATATGGTCGTGTTTTATTTTCATTTTTTTGTGTAAAAAAATACCTGGCACCTCCTGAAGACTTGGTAATAAAATGTCTCAAGCTAAAAAGACAATATAGATTTTCTTGGCAATTGTATAAAACAGAGAACACTTTGTATGTACATAAGTTTTTCATCAGACCTTTTGTTGAAAATGTATTACAAAAAACACTGAGGAATCAGTTTTTTAATATTATCGAAGCGAGCTAGCAGACAATTCGATTAAAATTCGGATATGTCCATCAAAGCATTTATGTAAATATATCAACTTTTAATTTTTCCGAATTTTTTGGCCTACATTTCCAATTGATTGTTGAGAACCATTTTTTCTAATCGGTTTTCAAGGGAAATTATAAGTGTAAAAAATAGGGGTAACTTTGATGGAATTTATAAACATCGGTCGATTTTGAGCGCTCAAGCTAACGACTCGAACAAAAAACTATTGTAAATTGTATTTATTCAGGTATAATGCAGTTTTTGAAAAATTTCAATATGACTATCCATTTGGCCTATGGCGCTCGCGAAATGAAAGCAGTGCAATACTTAGAGACTTGGTCTTTAATGACAAGATATACTTTTCTTCAAGATGCTCTATTATAAATAATAGGGTAGTACTCTCTCGGTTTTTTTTTTGTCCAACAGACGAAGACCGTTACAGACAAGCCGTTTGTTCAGCGTACTAAAAAAAAAAGAATGCAAGCCAGATAGCCGGAGAGCAATTGAAATGGAATCATCAGGCCATCGAATTGAACCAATTTGTAGCTTTATTCTAATTTTTCACAGGTAACCCATCCTGAACGCTCTATTGCTTGGGCTATAGAGGTATTGTGAAAATTTACTTTAAAATAATACTTAAAATCAAATAAAATTACCTGCAAGTCAATATCTTGTACCATCATTTTTAGTTTTGGTGTTGTGCAATATACATTTCCATATTGAAATAGTGGTATCAGAGCTACAACACCATAATAAACTAAGTTCTGCACACAAGCTTTTACCAAATTGTTCTCTACATCAGATAAAACTGCTATTTTTGCAACATGGTTGAAGCCATCAATAAAAGGAGTTACTTGCTGTGTTGTTAGATCCCACTGTTGTTCAGGAAGTTCTCTTATAAATATTGGTACTTGATGGTCCATGACAGGTGTTGGGTCTAACCTTATAGTGCATACTTTTAGATGAGTTGTTGTTGCACCTTCTATTAAAGCACATTCTCCTATAAATAAAGTTCTATATGATAAATGGGAAAATAATTTATAGCATTATCAGGCTCATAAATTTTAATAAATGTTCTTCAGAGGTTAGAAAGGGTAGAGGTAACATAGGAAGCATTTGCCGCTGCGCGAATTTTGCCAAAACCGAAAAACTGGGTGGAAGGAGTAGCGAGATGTTCTGGGCAGGACTTAAATATTTGTACTGTAGTGCCTAATTTTGGTAACTAAAAGATGAAAAATTATGAGACGTTTTTTTTACTTCATTTGTTAGCATGATTCATTTATAATGAGGGCAATAACACTATCAATATATAGCTAGTAGCTAAAAATTACTAAACGAAGATTAAAATGACATTATTAATGTAAAAATGTTATTTTAATCTCCGTTTAGTAATTTAAACTTCGTTATTTGTTAATGTAGAAATGTCATTTTAATCTTCGTTTATTATTTTAAACTTATTTTAAAACAACGGTGGAATCGGCCCTAAGTAAAAGTTTATAAAATTATTGTAACAAAATAGCTACATATTTGTGTATTAAGAGCAGAAAGTAACCTTTGGCTGTTGAGACAAAAAGTTGTCGAAAATAAATAATTAAATTTTATTAGAAATAGGATAGGTACCTTTCTTTCGTTATAATTGCCGCGTTTGAAAATCCACATCCGATGCATTTTTTACATCTCGAGCGATTTTTTTATCCACATCGGACACATCTGTCCCACTATATTTACGTACACTGAGAATCACGTGATCAAAAATTTACTACATCTCAGATGCATCCGATGTGGATATTCAAACGCGTCAAATATTGTAAATTTATTTGACATAAGAGTAGGCTTATGTCGAAGAGAAAAAAATATTTTAGTACTTATATGTCGGTAATTATTTATGATTTAATCATTTAATTATTTACGGAAAATACTGTTCGATGATTTAAAATATTAGGAAGTCAATTAAAATATTTTAAATTAGCCTACATTTTGTTTTGAAATATTTACCAATTAGCTTTCATTTATTTAATTCAAATAAAAACAGACAAGCGTGCGCCAATTAGGCATTCCAACGACCTGTCAAACAATAGGTGCCAGTGGGAAATTCTTGTATATTTAAGGGGGTAGCGATATATTCTTGCAACTTGGACGCTATTTTTATTCGAAGTAGTACCCGCCAAGCCTGCCAATTTATGAAGAAATGTATAGGTGGGTTTTTAAATATTATTTTTATTGTGTTTGACATAAAATATTTAAATGTAATCCATAATTCATGATTTTACGTAAAGTAGATAGAATACACCATATGTCGCCACCCTTAGATATACCAAACCTGCCCACTGGTAATTCATTTGTTTGGAATGCACATACTTTGATTACTATACGAGGCAAGAGAGAGGTCCGACACGCTCAACATAGGGCGCGGCCATTTTGAACCCTTGTGACACAGTTTACAGCTAAAGAATCAGATCGCTCACTCTGCGTCGGCACTTTGGATCTCAATGGCTGCGTTCATCCGCGCCACATGCTACCTGGGGTGCTATTTTCAAAGTCGAGAGAATTCATTTCTCTCGAGAGAAATGTCATACGTCAACGTAAAACAGTATTTTTAGGGTCCTAAGGGCCAGTGTAAACTCACTGATTGTTTCTCACGGTTTATTTAGAGATAATTAATATCCTCCTAAGAATTTTAATCATAGAGGCCTTTAAAAACAGCGTTTCCACATTGACGTATGACATTTCTGATGAGAATCTTGAGAGAAATGAGTACTCACACGGTTTGAAAATAGGTCCCCAGATCGATCTGGTAGCGCTCTCGAGTGGCACGTATGAACGGTGTATTTTGACATTTCGCTCAAGGAGCGGCCGCCATTAAAAGTAGCGCATTTTATTTACGTCTGATCGGTGATCACTGATCTGTCTTACGCACTTACGTCCACGGTTTGCTTGGTGACTAGTAGGGTTATATTAGCATATTAGCAATTGAAAAATAAACAAACAAATCTTCAACCAGAGACATTCAACTCAAAAGTAAAATGAATAATCCAAAATCAAATGTCACTTTTAAACATGGTTCATCCGTGCATAAAGATCGATCAGGTAGCGTAAGTGATCGCTACTTTTGTAGCGCTCCTTGAAATGGCGCGGATGAACGCAGCCAATATTTCAGTTTATACACTGTGCAACTCGGATAATACAATATATGACAACCGCCTATAATAAAACAGTAGTCTTCTGCGTATCCTAAATTTTTATCCCCGGGGTGGATGTTATTTTGGAACTTTTAACTGGTCCGAGTGAGCTAACTGATTCTTTAGCAATAAACTGTGACTTCAAAAATAATATTCACTGACACTGACAGCAGCAAGCAAAATATCAGGTGCGTTTTAATCATCCGCTTCTGCTTCCGGAATTGTCGGTTCAGTCGTTTTAACCTGTCAGATTAAAACAAGAAAACTGACAATTCCGAAGCAGAAGCGGATGATTAAAACGCACCTATTAAAAATATTGCGCCAAGATGTAGGCAACACCTAATAAGGGTTCAAAATGGCGGCGTTTTCTATCTCCTTTTATAAGGCACTCAGAAAGCTGCGCAGTGCGACCATTCTCCGTATAGTAAAAGAAAATCAAAATTTGTGTTGGAATGCCTAATAATATCAAATTATGACAATTCGCGGAGAACGTCAACTTTCTGGTTAGATTTGAATGTGCAAAAGCTTACTTTTTATATCTTACTTATTATTATATCTTACCTCACAAAATTTTGCTTATAATAACATTGAAATTAATGTTATTAATACACATTATTTTTATTATCAACAGGTTTTACAAATTAATAAACAAAATGTTAATAATTACGCTAAAATAAAATTATACAGTTTAAGACTGATTCTTAAGGCTCTTCTGCACGTTAGTCAATGCGCTGGCAAATATTATTGGCAAGGTAACTTTATGTTCCATACTTTGAAAATATGTTTATATATATACCAATTATTTTATCCCACAGTGGCTTTTCAGGGTACTTCCTTTTTGGAGCGATGTTGGGGTTTCTACGGATAATTATCTGGCTCAGCAATTCTGCATTTGGCCTCCCTACAATTTTAATGGCCAGCTCGTTCATCCTTTGTTGCATAGGTGTAATTTTAATTATTTCACATAGTAACTGATTGGATGGGTTATGCAGTGGATTGTTGGGGTGGCAGAGCTTTGTTATTCTTCTCAGACGTGATCTTTCAGAAAACTTCCACATTGTGGAAGGCTGCTCTGGAGCTTGTTTGTAGTAGAGTGTGGCCATATTCGATGAGAGGTCTACATATCATTTGGTATATATTTCTTGCTGCTTGGATATTGATTCCATCTTTTATAAGTTAAAGCACTGAAGTGCTTGGCTCTTGTGATGGCTTTATTTTTTATTTGTTGGCTATGATATTTGAAATTGAGTTTGTGATCTAGTTCTATTTCTAGATATTTGCAATGTTGTGTAGGTTTTAGTGCATGATTTTGAATGGTTATGTTAAGTTGTGGTTAAAAATGATGAATTTAGTTTTGGAAATATTTAGCTTGATTCTCCATTTATGGAAAAAGGAAATTGTGCTATTACATACACTTTGAAGTTTTTTGATGTTATTGTTTAGAAATTTATTGTGAGATATAAGGGCAGTGTCGTCAGCGCACTGAAGGGTCTATGAAGACTGAATGTAGTTATTTTAAGGGTAGATTGTGAGAATATATATCATGGCAGAAAAGTTATACAAAATGGTGATAATGGAGATCTTTGTGGAACTCCCTGTTCCATTGACAAATATCTTGAGATGAGATTATTGTGTTTAACAAATAATTGGCGATTTGTTAAGAATTTGTTTTTAATGTTAATTAGGTAAATAGGCCAATTGACTGAAAATAGTTTGTAAAGTAAGCCTGTGTGCCACACACTATCAAACGCTTTACTTATGTCCATAAAAACAGCAGCCGACGATTTTACTTCTAGGTGAGATGTTTGTACATTTGATGTCAAAATTATTAGTGGATGAACATTGGCTTTTGAAACCAAATCGACGTGTTGGAATATGTTCTCCTACAGCTGTTACTAACTTATTTTAATAATGTTTTCAAGTTTTTTCCTAAAACTGGTAGTAGCGTAATAATAATAATAATGTCTTTAATAAATAAATTATTACATTACAGTTGCACCAAGAAGGCGAAGATTAGCTGAAGCTACTCTTTAACTCTTAACCTTCTTGGTTTACAAAAAAAAATGAAAATAAATAAATGAAAAAATGTAAAAAGTAGTTAGAAATGGACAAAAGCATTAAAAGAGTTGTCAAAAAATAGTAATTAAATGAAAAATATAAAATAGAAATTAAATGTTTAGAAAACAATTATTTATTGCCTGTTAAGAATATTTTTAATAGTGTAACGAACATTGATAATTGAAGGAAGATACATAAGATGTTGAAACAAATTATAAAACTTAACTAAATTATAGGTAAAAGAACGCTCAAACAGTGCAGTAGGATGGTGTGGCATGGTAAGAGTATTAAATCGGATGTTACAATTGTGGACGGCATTTCTAAAAATTACCTTCTCAAACAAATATAAAGGAATCCTATTTTTAAATAAACGGTACAAGAAAGTTAGAAAATGTAGCTGAAATAAATTATTATATTTCGGCATCCAGTCCTCGATATCACATTGAGTTAACTATGTAGTAGGCCTTTTCTGCTACTACGCCCACGATATTTTTAAAGATTTAAAAAAGAAAAGCAAATAAAATAAAACTTCTGGTACGCTCCTGACATCCCCATCCATGTCTCTACTGTCTTTGTCGCCGCTTGGCTATTCATTGTGCTTTTCGTGCTACGCCTACGAGGACGGATCTAGGTAAGTATCCGTGTTTATCTAATATATTTACCTTTTAGCCAGGGCCGGACTGGCATATCGGGCGATCGCCCGAAAGGCCGGAGGTGTATTTGGGCCGGTCCAGCTCTGTTGAATGATCAGCCTGCAAATTGT